TCATGATATTTCAGCTCAGGAAAGACGTGCACTGCTTAGCATAAAGCAAAAATGAGACTAAAATATCTTCAATACACAAAAGGAATTACATTATTAAAAAAGTATGTCATATACAGTATATGGAGTGATTACATGGAACTTTGGTCATACAGGAATTAAATAATAATGAATCATGAATCATTCAAACATCTGGTTCTTGTACAGCCTAGGTCTGGATACAGTCTTTTCCCCATATAACATGACAGTTCTAGATAGATTAAGCTTTTTTGAACACCATGAGTGGAAACACACAATTTCTCACAAAAGCTGCATTTGTAAAACTATAATGGCTTAAAGATCGATGAACTCATTTTTTAAAGTCAACCATTTCTCCAGCTGGTTTGATTTAATGTTAATAATCATAGAAATACCTTCAAAACGGAGACAGAATGGTTTATTTTAGCTGGATGATTTCTCTCCCTGATTTTGAAAAGCATAAACATGCTCCATTCTTACATGTATTTCTTCATGTTTCTTCATGCCTCCCCTGCCTTATCCACTTCCCTTTTGTTCTCCCTGTTAAGCGCTTTCTAAATTCAGTTTTAAAGGCGCTATATAAATATAATTTGCTTGCTTGCTTCTTGCATCGTTACACCAGACATAGATTCGCTTTTGTGGATACATAAAGTCTTCAAAGGTAGGTAATGTTGCACCTTAGGTTCCCATTAGAGCCTTGGATAAGATTTCTTAAAATATTTTAATTTTACGACATAAACTAGCAAATTTACAAATCATCCCAAATCAGAAGAAAACATGCTTCAGGTTTTAAAAACAGTGTAGAATAGTGAGTTTAGCCTTGCGAAAACCTCTGTGAGCCTACCTCTGTGTGTACAACCAACATCTTTCTTAAACAAAGTATGTCAAAATCACTTGGTTTCACATAGTTACCAGATTTTAGAGTGACAATTTGAAGTCACAACTCTCCAATGATAAGCCCAGTTCTTGAAGGCACGACTAATGCTGCTGCAGCAACAAGTGTCTTCAGAGAGTCTTCAACACAAATCCATCAGCGCCAGTTTCTAAGTAGTGATGGCCAAGAATGACTATGGTTAACTACAGGCAAACACTGACACCTAGTGTATTATTATGGTTATTGCAAATAAAAGCGAATGACAGGACGGGGCCATGCAGGTTCATTTTAAACAACACCGCTACTGTCTGCATTACAGTGTAGATAAAAAAAAAAAAATTATCTTCTCCATCTGATCTAAAGCGTCATCAACTAATCCAGCACAGGAACATGACACTGCTAAGACACAGACATGCCACAAAGTAGGCAGGATGATGGCACAGGGATACAGAAGTTGAATATGATGGGAGATAGCAGTGACAATGATGTAATTATCCACTGTGTTTGTGTGCTGATTATGTGTTTATGTGTGTGCTCATGTGGATGCAACCTGCTATCTCAGTGTCTTCTGGTGCACTGTGAGGTCTATTTGGTCTTGCGAAGGGAGATAAGAGGGCGATTTTGAGGCCGGTGTGTGTGCTGGCTATCTGCCTCCCAGCTGCCAACGAAGCAGGGTCACTCAGGTGCACTCTGCGGGGACAAGTGGAGGAGCAGAATAGGAGGAGATAAAGTGAGAGCGGACAGAAAGGGTGGAGATGAAGGAGGTGAAATGACGAGGGAACAAAAGACGAGGAGGAGATGGAGTGGACAAAGGACAGACGGCGGGGTCAGCAGAGGAGACAGACACAGTGCAGACAGAGAGACGTGCTGCTGGTCATGTTGCAACACGCTTATCAAGACTTTCAGAGTGTACTCTGTATGTGTGCACATGTAGTGAGCATGTTCACACTCCATGTGCATAACTGTATGCGTGTGTATGTGTGTGTGTGTGTGTGTGTATGTGTGTGTCGCTCAGGTTCTGTGCATGTGTGAACTTTCCCACTCTTCTCGCTTCTGTGGGGCTCCAGGTCTTGTCCTGTGGGTGGGACAAAATACCCACAATACCAATTGTTTTCACAGCACACACACAGAGGATCAGGCCGCCGTAGCAAACTGGCACCAGATATTATCATTTGTGCTGCTGCTGTTTTTGGTTTCATTCTGATTTCCTTTTTACAAAGACGAAGTATGCCTAATCCCCTCATGTCAACCTGACTGTGAAGACTGCCAGAGAAGAAAATAAACATTGGAGTCCAACTTGTCAAATAACATTTACAGCAACAACAGACTCTTTCAAATGTGCGATTATGTAAAGTCATAACTGTCACAAGTTATCTGACGAGTTGGGGGGATTTTAGGTGATTTTGATGGCTATGCACGTTCATGGCTGCACCTGACACAGAGTGCACTGAAAGGCTAATGAATATCTCGAAAGGAACAATTTTCTGATAGAGCAAGCGTTGCCCTAAATCAGCAGATCCAATCCAAAACTTGTACCTTAGTTTGGGCTCTTAAAAACATGGCCTGAGCTCCAATTTATGCAGGCAGAACAGAAGTAGGATCGAGCAATTCTGACAAATTCAAACACCGGGATGACTACAAAGATGACAATTTACCATGCACTTAACCAGGTTTGTATAAGTGATGCTTTGGTTATTGTTTATTCAAAATGAGCAGTAGGAGCCTGACCTCTGTGCTTTTTAGGTAACTGGCTTACAAGTAATATACACATGCGTTAGTAGTGAACTGAGCGAAGTAAATTCTAAAAAGACAAAGGTGGGGCTGTTTCTAGTTTGTCCACTGACCAGGGACAGAACCTCTTTACTCATGAAATACAGTAAATGCACAGAATTGATCTTGATATCAAATCTGTATAAAGACAAGTTATATCTATAAAGACTGATCAATACTTAACTGGTCCTGTATATCACAAGGAAATGTAACTACAAAAATGAAATGTTATCAAATGTCTTTAATAAAAGATTAACCTCAAAGCCACTGTGTTCTTTTAATCTTTCCTCACTTCACTTGTAGATGTTTCTATTCCTGATATCTTCTTCTGACAGGTGGCATCGTTTCTGCATTTTGTCACAGAAAACTTTTAAGCCTCTGGATCGACCTTTAGTAGGGTTCCCAAATTTAATTCCAGGATTTAAATCTAAAACTTTTACATAATTCATCATAATCATAAAATATAAAAATTTCACAATGGCACAGTGAACTATACAGTATAAAATCAACCAATGCACAAATGTTTTGTTTTTGTTTTTTTACAATAGCATTCATTGTTTTGTCCAAACTACTCCTGCAGACTGTCTTGGTTGTTATCATTTTATGGATCCTCAATCAAAATAAACATCCATTTCTCACACCTAATAAATTCAAGTCTAATATTCACTGTCCTTTGAGTTCTGGGTTGGTCTCCACCAGCATCTGAGGGAAATATTTGGCTTCACTAACTGGTCACCAACTTTGGCTGTCGAGATTTTTTCCCCCCTGAAAACATCTGTCTTTTGTAGCTGGAAACAAGGTTGACGAGACTGAACCCCACAGTAAAGTTACAGGTTGTAAAACTAAAAGAAAGAGTTAGAAACACTAAAATGCTCCATGAAGCTGAGGGGAATGCAGAGCTGAGCAACAGTTTTCTATGTTAATCACAATAGGAGCAAGAGTGTCATTTAACAGTTGTTAATGAAAATATTGATTAATGGGGTTTTAAAAAGACATTGTAATTGCCATTACTTTATCAGGATTTCTTTGGCATGACACTTGCTGTCTCCATTGTTAAGAGGATGTCAGTCTTCCCTCACCTCTCTGGGCAGTGGACAAAAAGTTTCAGTCACTCTGGATATAGTGAGTGAGTTAAACAAAAAACTGGACCGTCAAAAGAAGTAGATGACAGCATATTTCAAGGCTCTTCCGATCAATGTAATACACCCACAGTGTGATCATACAGCACTGCTAGCCAACAGACAGCTGTGAGCACCTGTTTGTCCCACACTGACACCCATGACAGCCATAAGCACATGCCACACAGAGGGGTAAAAATGTAACTGGAGCTGAGAGGAAGTCTGCCAGGCTGTGGCAGCTGCTTCAAACAGCTTTGAATCCAGCTATCACACGCAGAGCCTTTTGAGAAGGGAAGCGTCCGTGTCAGCCCCTGTCACTGGCAGATGCAGACACGAGAAGCAAGGCCAGTTTTAGGCTTTGGATGAAGAATTGGTGATGGCTCCGGTTCATTTTATGCTGTTAGATTGAAAGATACAACAGCAGGATGTTTGACAAAAAGGAAAATATTATTATGACATGAAAATATCACCTTTCACATGGAGACTGAGGGCAGAAATTGTGCTATCACTGCTGCACAGTAATTGAAACCAAATTGAAATTATTGTCTTATCAGGCTTAAAAACATTCACTCCATAACTGTGAGCCATCAAACTACATGCTATTAAATTTTGTTGCAGTATAAAGAAAAGAAAAAAGTCTGAAAATTTAGCATAATTGATCTCCTGCAATAAAAATAAATGAAATGTCACAGGGATGTAGAGGATATGTAGTTAATCTGTATTAGTGACTCTCTATTGATTGATTTTTGGAAATTCTTTTATGTAAGCCTCATTGCATAAGATCAGAGGTCAGAAACAGAAGAGAAACAAGAAGCCCCATTTTAAATGCCTGTCTGTGTTTTATTAACAAGAAATGGATGAAATTAAGGATGAAAGCTCTCAAAATGTTTTTATTTTTGATATTGATGCTTCGATGCCTTCATACATTTAATCTAAACAATGGGGATGTTGTCAGGACAGAAGTATAAAGTGCCAGGTTTATATGACCTGTTGTTGACCACATCTGAGGGAAAAAGCACTCAAAGCACTCAAATATGGGGAGAAAAGACTGCCACCATAAGGGGAGCAGGACATGATAATCGTTGAATTGAGTGTAACAGTTAACACTTTCTCTACTCAGTCGTTTACAGGATTTTACTTGTTTCACATACAAAAAGTGATGGAATTAGTTGAAGAATGAAAAAAAGAGAGGTGGAGAGAGAAGTTCAAATCAGGGTTCTCACCTGCCGAGTCGCTGCATGAAGAGGGCCGGCTTCAGACACTTCCATTTAATATTGACGCCTCCGGTGTTCATTTCACTCCACCAGAAAAGTGCACTGCAGCTGCAGCAAGTGGAATGCAGCTATAAATTACCAAACCAAAACATACATTACATAACCAAAATCTTATATCCGGCATCATATGATGATGACAATCTAACATTTTATCACTTAACGTATCTTCAAACTTTATATATCATACAACTCTAAGTGCACTTATTATTTAGTCATTTGTCAATCTGGCTACACAACATTGCTGTCTAAAAATAACCCCAAATATCATCCAATACAAGAATAAAAAGTGAAACCAAAATAGAAAATTATGCCCATGCCACAACCACCAATTTTAATTAAAAAAACCCTGTTTCAACCATAATCATTTGGCACAGCAGTCTAACCCTGCAGACAGCCAGCCAAGCCTACAGTGAGCCCACCTTCTGATGCCAGCCAGGTGTAACACCATCTCCTCTGCTTTTTGTTCAGGTCATGTAATGAGGCTGTAATGAGGCCATGAAATATTGATAACCAGTCTCACTTAACACTGGGTCTCTTCAGGGTCCTCTCAACTAAAAACAACATAGTAGAAAGAAACACTTTACACCTCACTCTCTGAAGGACCAAAGATGAGGAGACTGCCTTAAAACGACAGACCAAAATCTCTAAATCCTGACATGCAAACAGGTTTAGTGATGCATGCAGTGGATTATTTACATGCCCAGGGTACAAGTAAAATTTATAATTAATGGAACTAGGGCTGTAACAAATCATTTGGTCTATAAAATTTCAGAAAACTGTGAATGTGTATTTAAGTGCTAGATTATATAACTCCTTATGCCTCTAGGGAACTGAAGACCCGAAGTCTTTCTTTATTTTTGTTGACCTTTAAAAAAAATCTATCACTTAGAGAGCTAAACATAAATTACTTCAAGCAACAGGCATTTACAAGATGTCAAAGCAGGCGTCTGTCAAGCCCGTTTGTTCGACTGTTCAACTTTAACCACACACAAGATGGAAAGAAAGAGATGAGACAGGTTACTGTCATCAACTTACCTTGATTATATCACTGACGAGGACTGTAAAAGTTTTCGTGCTTTCTTACGCTGCTCAGCTTCAGTGTTTTTGTTTTGTTTTAATTTAACGTTGTGATAAATGCCAAACTTAACAAATGCTTTTCACTGTAAACATTCATAATCAGCCCATTTGGTCTGATTAGAACGACACCTCAAGTCAATTAGTCGCTGTTTGCTCCGGGTAGTTAGCATTACACAAACTTAACAACCTGTTTTACACTGAAAACGGTTATGTTTAACCGGTTTCATTTCATACGGATAGTTTGTTAACACCATTAGTCGCTGTTCGATCCATTTAATCACACATATTGGTCTTCTGTCTATATTTCAAACGAGTAGCTAAGCTAGCTAACTAACTAACAGTGCTCTCGATGCTAGCTGGTTCTCCTCTGCCCCTGGATACAGGTCGCTAAGCAACTACAAGCGGTACTTGAAAGGCTATGCTAACTAGCTAGCTCTTTAGCGATCATGTATGTCAACCACCAAGCGATTTAAATAACGATGTCATGTAGACACCTATTTGTGCAGCCTCGGTAATAGCAGTATCACAGATACCAACGTTTTCTTTAACTATCAACGGAATAACTTGCTGAGATTAGTTTGTTCTTTTCGATAAAGGCTGCATAAACTATCAAAAACTACAACTCCCTATTTCCCCAGTCTGCCGCATGACAGTTACAAGTGTCGCAATCAAGTGAGGACTTGAATAGGAGTGACTGACTACCTCCGAGTTGAGCGAGTGGTGTGGAAGAGAGCAGTTCAGGCTACCGTGTGAACATGGTGAGTAGAACTGGTGACTTCTATATCATTCTTTTTAAAATACCAATGAAACTGTGGTTATTCTGTTTGATTCATTAAGCAGTTCAGGAACGTTTGCAAAGTTCGTCAAAGTTAGAAAATAGATTTTAACAACACTCATAGTCTGGCTCGCCGTATGACGTAACCAACCCCACAGGACTGATATGTTTATTTAAAAAATTCAGTCCGTCCTCAGCTCATATTCATATGAAGCTTTTTTTAATTTCCTTATGAGCTATCTTGGTAGTTTTGGGGATTGAATGAATGCTGGTGAGTGAGTGATAAAGATGGCGATGAACTTGATAAGTATACCCTGGTTGTGTTATGTAATACTCCTGTATAGAAGGCACGGTCTATTTTTGAAGTGACCCCCTGCTTTAGTAAATCCTGTGACATTAATAGACGGCCAGCACCACTTGTGTAGAACAATTACACTATCACTTTCATACCTGTCCTTCCTCTGAAATCAATGGTATTAGTACTAACAGCATTGTTCTTTGCCTTGTGTCTTGCAGTCTGAGCCTATTAGAGTTTTGGTGACCGGCGCTGCTGGGCAGATCGCCTATTCCCTGTTGTTCAGCATTGCCAAGGGAGATGTCTTTGGCAAAGATCAGGTAAGGCAGGGCTTTGTCTTGCTCACGTAACACACAGAATTACCTTATCTCATTAGGCAATGTCACAAGACGTCTGTAGGATACTGACACCCCCCAATAAACAGCTGTGAGTTTTCCAGGTCATATGTGGGGGGGTGACACTAAACAGATGTTGTCCCTGTGGGAACTGATCAGATTGCACTTGCTCGTCCGTGCGTCCTGGGACAAGTCAGGAGTGTCCTTGAAGTCAATGAAATGGATCTCGTGCCAAGAGTCTTAGGCCAACTTTAAAACCACTTGATCCACTTGGCACGCGCCATAGTCCGTGAGCCATATGGCTTAGGCCTTCACACTCTGTCTCACTAAGTCCCCCACTGACATGTCACTATGCATGGAAATTATGATTTGAATTCAGTTCAGAATGTTTCATTCATTTCATACCATTCATCGCACTGCCTACTTCTTTCCCACCTCCCTCTACCAGCCAATCACCTTGCTCCTTTTGGACATCACACCCATGTTGCCAGTCCTGGAAGGTGTTGTCATGGAGCTGCAGGACTGTGCCCTCCCACTTCTGAGAGGTAACCATCTAAGGGTGGGAGAGATAATTGATACAAGAAAATAACACAATATATTTTCTTATATGTCATTGATACACTGGCATCAAATATCATAGTGGATTGGATTTTACTTTACGGTTTGCTTTTGGAGAAGCTTTCTGGAGTTAAACTGACTTATTTTAGGTTGAAAATATGTTATTTGCTATGAATCAGGGATGTACTCTTTCTTTAAAACAGGTGCTTTCTAGAAGTTATGCCTTTTGCCAGTTTATAGCCTTGTCCATCTTAAAGATAGCACACGTGTGCATGATGCTGTTAACCTGGGCTCTGGCCTCTGCCCTAACCATGTGCTATATACATGCTAGCAATAGAATAAAGGCTTCTTTGTAATGTGACTTTAGAGCAACAGTAGTTACAAGGAGATGCTGGGCTAAAGATGTAGTGAACTGTTTTTATTTAAAGTTCTTTACATTTATAAATGCCTGCAATTTCTGCCTGGTTGGCCCCATGGTTGCCCAACAGTTTTAATCCAACACTCTGCTCATTGCTACCGAGCAAACACACACCTAGAATTCAAGGAGCCAGGGCTGTGTTAATCGAACACCTCAAAATCAACCCTATGTATCGTTTCTACACAAACTGTGCCTTTTATCTAGTAAGCTTTACTTGATTTATTTGTTCACTTTTCCATATTAAATTTGTCCAAACCTTGTTTTCTACAGTAATTTAAAATCTCCAGGGATGGCAGAGCATCCTTGCGTATCTGGGACATTTGACCACAAAATTAAGGATTACACACTCACAGCAATATTTGTTGGCAAGGAAATGATCAAATACGCAATCATAGTTTGTAGGAATAGATTGCAGCTGTAAATTGGGCAGAAGATTTTTTTTAAAATCAATCAATCCCATTGAAGAAACTTGTTATTTTAAATCAACATTCTACCTTATATATTTCTACACTACCCAGAATATTATTCACCACCCGCTGGGGCTAATAACAGCTGTGCAGTTTTCCTGAATCCTGACAGGTGGAACATTTGATCACATTTCTGAACCAAGGAAAATTCATTTTAACTCCAAGGACCAAATATGCGTCATTGTAAGAATTTTGTGACAGTTGAGACTTCCTTCTCTGCAACACTTGATAAAAATGGTTGCTGGTTTCCGCGTGGTTTTCTGGTGTCATCACTGTAACCGCCGTCATGACATCAGTTGTGAGGCGCCATTATGTGTCGTCTCCATTGTGACCTGGGATTTTTCCTTTGAAATGGTGCTGTCCTTTGCTTTGTTTGGACCGGGGATGTGAGAGGCCCCTGTATTAACTAACTGTACTGCAAAGACAACGCTTCATGCGCTGAGATGGGCCCAGCCGTACAGCACAATACTGGTCGCACACGGGATACCTCCAAATCGCATTTCTCAAAATCATATGCATATGATTTAGAAAGGGTGTACAGACTTTTCAATAAGTTTGTTTTCAAACTATTTCAGATGGATATTGTCATAGTGATAAATTGCAGATATGCTACTTGGACAGAAACGACTTGAGCTGTGTATTTTGGTGTTTGTTGATTTAAAAAGTGTATGAACAAAATTATTTTTCACTTCACCTTTTATCAGGAATTCCAACATGTTTCTGTGTAACAGTGGAGACCTGGCCAAGAGGGCGCACTAATCTGATTTACCAGTCACAATATGAACATACACTACCTACTTGGTTCCAGTTAAATGGGAATATGCCCAAAATGCATTTGATGGCTCGGAAAATGTAGAATGTCATTATCCATGTTAAATTTGTATTTAACAGTTAGTAAAATTTATGAAAAATTTCTTTTTGGCAAAGTGTTAATATTGACCTATGAATCCCAGACGTTTTGAGATGTGGTAAAGCACCATTTTTAGATGTAAATTTAAAGGAACAATACACAGAATACAAACACATTCAACCACAAGTAATTACTTAATTTTCTCCTTCCACAGACATTGTCCCCACCGACAAGGAGGAGGTGGCCTTCAAGGACCTGGACGCTGCCATCTTGGTGGGCTCCATGCCCAGGAAGGAGGGCATGGAGAGAAAAGACCTGCTCAAAGCCAATGTGGCCATCTTCAAGAGCCAGGGAACCGCCCTGGAGAAGTATGCCAAGAAGACAGTCAAGGTAATGAAACAGGACCTAGATTATAAATAATGTTTCTACTCTTATCTCATATTGGCAACATACAGCACAGGAGTACACGTACTTTCTCATGCTTATCCATCGTTTTTTGTCCTTCTGTATTATTAAGTATCATACAAGTTTGCTTTTTTTGCTCCATTCTGTTAAGAATATGATGTAAAATCTAGAGCAGAAAATGCTTCAGATGAGTCACTCAGGTTGCATTTTGATATGTTTGTGTTTTAGGTGCTGGTTGTGGGAAACCCTGCCAACACCAACTGTCTGATTGCAGCCAAGTCTGCTCCCTCCATCCCCAAGGAGAACTTCTCCTGCCTCACCCGTCTGGACCACAACAGGGCTCGCTCTCAGGTGCACTCCTCCTTCCAGTTCTATTCAGCCGTTGTCAGATGTTGTCAGTCATTTGTTTCTTTTTCCATTTTTTTCTCATTGTGAAATCTGATTTTGCTTTCTGTCCTGTAGGTGGCAATGCGCTGTGGCGTCCCGGCCACCCATGTGAGGAATGTGATCATTTGGGGAAACCACTCGTCCACCCAGTACCCAGACGTGCACCACTGCATGGTCAACATGTCTGGTAGTGAGCTCGCCTGCTTCGATGCAGTCAAGGATGATGCCTGGCTCAAAGGAGATTTCATTGCTGTGAGCTGATGTTAACTTATTCTAATTTATTGAACTATAAGGAACATTTAGCATTTATATAAAACTCCTCTGTCAGCTGCTCAAAAATGCATGATATTTCTGAAATTAGATCTCCAGGGTGCTAGTGTAAAGGAAAATGGCAGATACAGAAAAATATGAGTAGCATTTTATGGAAAATTTGTGATGGGTTTTTCTAAAATCAACCAATCAAACATAGGAAGTATGTTTGAAAATAAATTCCTGACATTGCTGATTACAGTAAACCTGGCTTGTTCAACACATGCACATTGACTCAAATATTGGTCACAAAGAAGTGTTTATCAGTGATAAGCAGTTAAATTGTATTTTTATTGATGTTTTTTTAGTACAGAGGTCATGGTCATAGGACTGAAAAATGACAATAATACATTGTTTCAGAAATACAGATTGCCATTCAGTTCTTCAAATGTAATTTTTTTGATGATCCAACAAAATTCCAGAGATAATGATTGCAAACATTTCAGCCTTTTTCTCAAAACCTTGATAAATAAAACTCAAAGTAGCTGCGCAGCTCAATAACTCCCCTGCATTTTCATTCAGTGATCCACATTTTTGTGTTGCAGACGGTGCAACTGAGAGGCGCTGCAGTCATCAAGGCCAGGAAGCTGTCCAGTGCAATGTCTGCAGCCAAGGCCATCTGTGACCACATGAGAGACATCTGGTCGGGCACCTCCGAGGTAAACACCATGTTTATTTATATTGTATTTCTGGAAAGGGAATGTCTGCCCGCTGCTGCAATCAGGCGTTACAAGGAGTGGCTGTTACACAGTCAAAGAGCAGGCTGTAAAACCCTCCCTCCCTCATTTTTTGTGATGTGGTAAAGGTACAGGTTGTTATTATATTATTTTGATTTCCCACAGACAGTATGGTTCTGAATTTTGTATTTCACTGTATCTGGAATAAGCAGCATTATATTTCCAGACTGCAGGCTTAACCATTCTCTGCTTTGTTTCAGGGTGAGTTCACCTCTATGGGTGTTTACTCCTCTGGCAACTCCTATGGAGTCCCAGACGACCTCATCTACTCATTCCCTGTCCAGATCAAGGTGAGACTGATCTAACCTCGTGTTTTTAATACAGCTAATTGATTTCTTGGCGTAGACAGATATCAGTTAGGTGTTTCCTGATTTGATTGTCATGTTTGTTTGGTTTTTTTTTTGTCTTCAAAATGTGAAATAATGAACAACTGTGGAAAAGACATACTTCCATCCGTGTAAATTAAGACCAGGCTAAAATCTGCCTTCTCTGGTTAAAAGTTTGATCACGCTCAGTATCATTGAGTAATTGCAGGGTGTGGTCAGAAAGTGCTTTGTTGCACCAAACAGTGATGTCAGTACACCTTTACACTGCAGCCAGGTGAGAAGTTAAACTACTGGAGGTCAGCAAAAAAAAAAAAGATTTTCAAGGGGCATTAAATTATTCTCCAAGTTTTTCCTTTGGTTGAACGAGGAAAAGTAAATTGTAGAGGATTGTTTATTGGCATGTGTCCCAAAATACAAAACTCAGTTAGTTACTAAGAAAGTATGCTGTTCCCTCAGGACAAGTCCTGGAAGATTGTGGATGGCCTGGCCATCAATGATTTTTCCCGATTGAAGATGGACGCCACAGCAGCGGAGCTGATAGAAGAGAGGGACACAGCTGTGTCTTTCCTGGGTGTATGACTAAACCCTGCAGGGCCACCCTACCAGCACTTAGACAGCCCCAAAACTCCAGAAGCACGCCTGTAATAAAGCACTCCACAAACCCCTGCATTACTGTGTGTGTGAGAGAGAGTGAGTCAGTGTTTATGAGTGTAAAGTTGGATTTATACTTGTGTGTTGGGAGGCTGTGCAGTAAAAACATAGAGCCTATGCACACAGCTACTTACACTAACGTGCACCCTCTTTAAAAATGTACAGCAGCTAGAGACAGTGATTGGCGAGCTTGGGTTTCTTGTGTTTTCTTTCACAAGTTTCCAAACCTGCTGGAGATGGCATGGTGTCGATAGTGAAGACGACATTAAGTGAGTTATTAAAGCTCAGTAATCTTAAAATGACTGCATCACCGTACATATTCTGTGATGCAGCAAAGCTATGTCTGTTACAAACCTACTCGTTCCGATTGCCACTGTCTATTGCAAAGTGAAAAGAACGTAAGCAGGTTTGCTTTGGCTATGAATGACTACATGGCATTATATTCTCCTGTTCAGTAAACACCAGAGACCCCTTGGCAAGGTTCCTGTACATTGTGACGCACAAGTATAACTCTACCTTAAGTATACAGTTTATACTGGAGGTCAACCAGATCTGTTACCAGCTATTTTCCAATAATTTTTCTCTGGGGGTAAGTGAATGGATGGTTGTTACATATAGTCAGTGATGCACTAAGTCCTCAAACACTGGAATGGATAACTTTTAAGCTGAAATAATAAAAAATTAAACAATATAGTTGTGTTGTTTTTTTTTGTTTGTTTTTTTTTGACGGTGTTAAATTTGTTTCCAACTATGTTGTCGCCATGTCTTGAGTTGATGTCTTGCACGTAGGTGTGAATGTTATGGAATCTTATTGTTCCCATGGGGGAATTTGTCTTGGTCTCTGCACTGCAGCTCCAAATACAATCAATACAATACACAAGACTGACAGCCTGTCTTAAGTTTACGTTGCTTCTCTCTGAATGTTCAGAGAAAGGCTCCAGTCCCTCACAACCGTGCATTAGATAAACAGGGATGGATGAGGTGATCAACAAACTTCCAGCTTTTCTAAATGTTAGGACTGAAATTTGCAGAGTGGAAGGGGTGGGGGTGAAAAATATGACAATCAGTTGTCTTCCAGTACCAGTATACTGTAGACCACAGTTTGTCTTCAGGTATGTCAAGTTTTTTAGTTGATGCTTGTGACATCGGGCCGCATAGTGATGAGAAGTACAGTAATACTTCCATTTCCTGCAGAGATAAAAAAAAATAGTCCAAGTTGACGCCTGCTATTTGAAACGCTGAGGTACAGTGCACTGTCACAGTTTCACCAGGCAGGGGCAGTGATTCCTCATTGTTTTACTTACCAGCAGTATGAGAAACAATTATGTAACATCTCTAATTAGTTCACAATGTGTCATTGTTGATACAGACTATAATAGTGGGCTACTCTACCAAAAAGATTCTCCAGTCTGACAATAATGGGATCACTGTTGGAGGTACATACACTCAAGTACTGTAGCTCAGTACACATTTGAGGTACTTGTACTTGTGTAATTTTATACTTTTTACTTCTTCTCCATTACAGTTCAGATGGAAATATTGCACTTTGTGATGTACTACATTTATCTGATAGCTATTGTTACAAGTCACTTTTCCAGTAAAAAATAAAACTGTACTACAATCTGTTACATACAGATGAGCTCGTTGCCGATTAAATAACCCAATAGTATATAAAAGTAGCACTGTAATGAATAATCAATGAATTGGTTACAACAGAAAAATAAACGTCAATTAAAAATGTCAAACATCTCATGAGTCCTGTTTCTCAAAAGTCAGGATTTGCTGCTTTTCCTTTCTAATTGTGAGGTTTGACTTTTGAAGGTGTCACTTTGGCCATTTCTCACTATTTTCTGAAGTTTTACAAACCAAGCAATCAATCGACTGATCAAGACAAGTCAACAGATTAATCCATAATGAAGCCTTAATAATGTAGCCTTGTATAAAACAGTGCAGCAAATTCGGCAGTAAAATGCTTTTTCACATTAATGCATAAATTATAATAATATAACAATGTCAAGGGGAACTGTTTGACATTTTTTACTTGTAATGGAGTATTTTGACAGCACGGTGGTAGCACTTTTACTTTAATCTGGATACTTCCTCCTCCACTGCCCGGGGTGAATCTGTTGTACCTGGTGAGATGTTGACTGCTGCTCAGCCAGTTTGATGCTTCTCATAATGATATACTGATGTACTTTAAAAGCTTTTACTTAAAGATGTTATATGGGATAAGGGCGGATGTATGCGTACTTCTGGTATTTTATTTCCAAAATTTCGAGCATTCTTTCACCCGGAATTGTCAGAAAACATATCGCACGTTGCAGAAATCTATTGGTAGTTCAAAAATGCGTCACAGAAAACCAACGTTTTGATTGGCTGCCGTCCCCCTGCGACATTCCCATTCGCCCCTGCTCGGAATCTTCAAACTACTGACATTTCGTTTTTTAAGTTTTTTTTGTCTTTTTGCGATTTTTTTACCCAGCGATGTCGACGGGAAACAGAAGCCCGAAGTTTTAAGGTGAAAACCTGTTAAAGAAAAAACAAAACAAAACATCGATATTAGTGTACCCCTGCTGTCTGTCTTCTTGTCTGCGGGATTGCTGTGGTCCTTCAGACCCGCAGGACCAGGCCGACCCCATCGACTTTTTTTCCCACCAGCATCCTACAGTCACACAGTAAGAAAATGGCTTTAAATCTGAAAAACGTTTTGATTTGCCCGATTTCCCAAGCGACTCGTGTTGGTGGTCGTCTCTTCACGTTAGCTATTGTAGCTCAGCGGTTTTTCTTTTAGACATAAATCGTAAGCGGTCGTTTTTACTCGTAGTGTAGCGTTCACGGACTTGACTTGTCAAAGCTGTAAACACTGTATCCAGCGTTAATATGTATTTCTTGAGTACATACAAACCCTCCGTCCACCATCCATCATTGATTCATTTCCGCATCCTCTAGCCTCTTAAGTTCCCCGTCAGGCACGCAGGTTGTGCGGATGGAGTCACTAGTGTGCCTCTCACCGGTTAATAATTGACTGGAGGTTTGTTGGCAGTACAAGTAAGTGGACTCTGGTGTAAAAAAAAAAAAAAAGGAAAAGACGCTTTAATAATAAGGTAATAAAAATGTAGGCAGGGGGCGAGGGACAAGAGAAACACGACCAGAGGTTGGGTGTCAGAGCCAGGATTTGTGACGTGGTTTACAGTACTGGGGCTGGAAAACGAGAGGCGGCCACCGCAAGGAATAAAAGATCCTCTTAGATCAGGTCCAGCTTCATGTTGAGAGACGATACTTGGCTGCTGGCCAGAGAGATAAATGTGATCGGATGAATGTTTCCTTGTTTTCCTTCTTCTTTTTTTTTTTTGAGGTTGACAGGATGCCTTTTCCTCCAAAGCGTCAGTGGTGAATGGACTTAAAGGGTTGCATACCTCTGAATGAATGATCTGTGACTGGCTTTTAGGATACCTCTAAGAAACTTTTCTATTCATTTACGGGATGTATGTTCAATGACACTTCGGTTCTGCTCTCGGGAATATTTAACTTGAAACAGTGCCGTGTGCTCTGTTTTGGATTCATCTTGTTATTTAACCGTATGTATTGCTGAACCGGTCGCTCTTTGGCAGCTGAAACATGGCACTTTATGTGGAAGGTACGTGATGATGTGGAAGGTATTTTAGTTATAACCCTGAACCAAATCTGTGTTTTCATAGATCTTCATTTACCAAAATCATTCCTTAGAGCCAAACACCTTTTCTAATGTTTTTTCCTCCATTCCAGGCATTTCTCAACTGTATTTTGATGCAGGTACTGGTTTTTATTCCTATCAGTTCAGAATTGAAATCAGCTTGCGGAGACTTATAATTTGCCCCTTATACTAAATGATCCGTCACATGTGATTACCATGCTCAGTCTTATTTCTGTCAAAGCTTAAAATACTTGAGTTGATGCCTTCATGTGAGGAGTCCTGCCAACTGAGGCTCTTAGATGCACATTAAAGTTTTCTTTTACATTGTGTTTTGTGTCACCACATGACCACTATCCTTTGCCTATGACAGATGGTATCTCTTGAATGCATTTGAGATTGGTCGGTTGGTTGTAAACTCTAATTTTTTAAATGATCGAGCCTCCCATCTGGGCATGAGCACACCACCTCTCAAACTGAATTTTAAAAATCTGCCTAAAATCAGTCCCCAGCTGATTTGAAAAGTGTTGTTCATAGCTTTCTGAAAGGCAGCCAGGTGGAGTCCTGGTCAAAGTTCTCCAGGTCATTCACTGGTTTTATTTCACCGCCTCAGGCTTGCAGCCAGCCTGCCTGTAACTTACAACCTACTACAGCATTTCAGGCTTCCTGGGCAACCAAAATGTGCCAGTAACATCTGATTTTTAGGCACAGTTTGCTGGTTATTTCCTAAATTCTCCAGCCACTGCTTTTAGGTCTTATGAATAGAACAGGGGCTCCTAATGATGGCTGGTTAACTGTCAAAGAGACATAAGTTGATTTGCTAAATCAATCATCTGTAAGTTTGAAAATCGGTGATTAATTTAAATGGATCATGAGGTAAAAAATGAAGATGTGATGGATATAGTTTTAAAAGTGCTTTAAAATATATCTTACTGTTCACAAAAAAAACCTAGGAAATTGTGAATGGCATTCATCATTATTTTGACATGTTATCGACTAAACAATTAAATTAATTAATGTAGTTTATCAATGAAGCAATAGATAAGCGAATACAGTTTGTAAAATGTTATCATTACTTTATTGATTCATAAATATTCTACTTGTATCCTGAGACTTACCACAGTCACAGCTGTTACCTGGCACCTTGTTTTTATCTGCCCTTGATGACAGAAAGCGAACGTAAGATATTATAAAATCTTAAAACATTAAACATTAAAAATCCTAGCTGGGGGCGGTGGAATCTGTGCATCACTGGCATACCACATATGATCTCCAGTTCCTTCTGCTGCTGTTCTTAATGATGACACTGGGCGCGTCTTATCACACTTGACTAAAAAGAAGAGTAGTTTCCTTTTGTCATGTTTTTGACTGTGTGCCAGAGCCCATGAATTACTCTGTGGTGACCCACACATGAAGCTCTTAACTCTGCTGGCACATCCCGTTGTAACTGTATTATACTTTTGCTTTGGTTTTTAACCTTTATTTTCTCATTTTTAAATCATGCATGTAAACAAGCCAGCTGTTGGGATCTAATCAAAACATTAATCTCTCACAGCGCAGAAAAAAAAAATTTGTTCACAAGCATTGTCTCATTAGCTTTTGAATGTGATCGTGATTCTCATACGACTTTCTCACATTTACTGTCATTTCAAGCCAAAGCTACTTGTGCCAGTTAATTAAAGCAATTGGAATAATTAGGCTCAGACGTGCTTCGTTGTGATTACATCCCTTCCTGTACCTGTAGTCAGTCAGGGAGTTTCTAAGCCATGCTGGATGTGTCTTAACAATAGATTTTCAAAGTCAATATTGATATTGATGGTTGAGATTTAAAAAGAAAACTGATAACTATTATCATAAATACACAACATAAACAATCGTTACAGAGATAAGGATGCCTAAATTAGATTATTAAAGAATCATGACTACAATATGCTCTGAGTGAAAAATAAATTTGACAAACTGGAATAGAAATATTGTTTTGTTCAGTGACGAGCCTAAAGAGACGGTTTGATTCGATAAAATGAGTCGAAGTGGAGACAAGCATAACGTGTTAGAATTAAGTTATATTGCAACTGTGAAAAAACCTTTTCACCTCATCTTCCCCTGTCTTCTCTGTCCAGGTCTGAGTAAAGGAGTGCCCAACGGAGGGATGGCTCAGTTCCAGGAAATGATGCGGCAGCAGCTGGAGAGCTCCATGCACGCTGAGCTGGAGAAACTGCTGGACACCACCACAGGGGCCGAGAGAGAGGTACACCAGCACTGACTCTCTCTCTGTCTCTCTCTCTCTCTCTCTCTGTCTCTCTCTCTCTGCCTCTCCGACCATCTGGTAGTGATTTAGAGGGTGGTGGGGTCTCACACAACACTGGGAAAACACAAAAGTGACACATACTGTAGCACAGTGCCAATGAGGGTTCCACCTACATGCTTACACACACACACACACACACACAAACATAAAGTCACACAGACATAATGTCATAAAATTGCAGTAGGCAAGGTTTTAAAGCAAACATTCACCCATTTTGTCAGCCTGAATCATAATATATTGCGTCATTAGAGAGACGCAGCCCAACTGAGCCCCTGTAGCTTCGTCCTGTTTGCCTCAAAGGAATTCTGGTGGTGGGAGTGGGTACTTCTCAGCCCACAGCAGCTGATTCATCACAACCTCAGGGTAAACGCCAAACTGTGTCCTAAACAGCTGCAAGAAAGCGAGACTCACCATCAATCCCTCTGTTTTCTTTTAGTTTTCTTTGCTGTAATACAATCGTAAACCTTGAAACCAAGTTGTCAGTAAAACTGGCTTGACACACACACACACACACACACACACACGCAAGGTTTGGCAGTTGCCTCTTTCAGACATTAACCAGGCGCAATCGCAAAAGATGGAAGGATACATGGAGAGAAAAAGGTCAGAAGGGACAGCCAGTCACACACACAAGCGCGCCCGTTACTTCACACACACTTTCACTCAAGTGGGCTCACAGAAAAAAGCTTTTGTATTTAAGCACCAACAGTTACGCAAGCGAAAAAGCATTGTTCATATACACAACTGCAGAGACAGAGTCTAAGTTACACATTGGTTAAACTGGGCAGGTCTCGTTACCAGTGACAGGCCACCAACATGGTTATATTTGCCTTACCCTCCTGGAATGGATTTTCAAGAGCTTGAATGCATTTTGAATTATTTTTTTGTTTTTATCTTAATCTTTTTGTCTGAAATTTCTTTTTGCACAAGTGTATTAAAAATAAAAACCATGCAAACCCAGAGAAAAAGCAACACAGAAAGAAGAATTGCAAATCGCTAAATTATGGAGAGGAATTTTCTGAATAAATCACCAAAGTGGTTTATGAAATCATCCCATCCCAAAACAAATAAAACCGCTCCAGGTGCTGCATCACATCCTGATGCTGTTTTATCTGCAACTGGTATTGTACACATGCATCACAATGCACAATGCGTGTGTGCAAAACCAGGGGCATCACAATCTGGTTTTCATTGTTAACTTTTAAAGCATCTGCAGTACACTGCTACAGTACACTATCCAGTAGCTGCAAAAAGAAATCAGCATTACACAAACATGTAACACTCTGTGATGCTTAGAATCAAATATGTCCCCTCATGTTGTTCAGCAGCTTCACATATTTCATCCATCAGTCAAACGTCTTTTTATTGTGTCATTTCTCGCTTGGTGAACACACCCGTTTCACCCCAGTGGCTGGTTCAGCGAGCAGAAGTTGACTTTCTAATTGCAGATGATCAAACCCACATTTTACATTCGAGGCTCCAGCTGACTGTTTTATCTTCACTTTCGAGAGCAGCAATAGAAGTTTCAGTTGCTAGATTACCAGCTCCATTATAAGAAACATAGGGTGAGGAGTAGTGAAAGTGCAGTGCGAGGAATATAAAATAAGAAAAAAGGATAAATTACATTTTTATTGACTTTGTGATTGAAAACTATGGTGAGAATCAGCAAAGATCTTATTAATTTAACCCTTTATTCAGCTTCCCTCAGTAGAGAAATCTGGTAGATAACTGTTGCACTTTGAGAAGCACTCGGTCCATTTTCATTTTTCTGGTGAAGTGAATTAAAATTGTGGTTGAGCAAAACTGTATTAGTGACTTGGCAAATCTCAGCCAGCCTTTCATGAATGAGTAAAGATTAAAATATTGTAAAATCCTTGTGTTTTTCAGGTGTCCAAGAAAGACTTCGAGGGCTTCAAGAATCTTTTCCACAGATTTCTGCAGGTGAAGGGGCCGTCAGTGGAGTGGATCAAGATACAAAGACCTCCAGAGGACTCTGTGAGTGTTTGTTTCTTTTAGTTTTTGTTTTTTTTTTGCTTGTCTGCACCTGAGAGAATGAGAACATCACATGTTTATGGTGGGAGAGAAAGTGAAAACTGGATTTACATCACTTATATCTCAAGTAAAACCTTGTCCTTGTTCGCACATACACGTAGCTCTCAATGTTTCTGCATCTTACAAGGAAAAAAATATTCCAGTGTGTGAGTTTTGTATACACGCAATGATTAAGCCAAACACACACACACACACACACACACACACACACACACACCCTGTCTGTTAGACTGGCTTGGAAGAAGAAAACTAAACCAAGAAGGTATCATACGTACAACAGGAAAGACGGTAGGGGAAGTCCAGTATGAGAAATAGTAATTCAGCCTTGAGCCTGAAGGCGTATCAGATGTCAAAACAATGCGCTTAAACTATGAGGCAGATTTGAACTCTGGAATGTCACCATGGCAGCAGTGAACAATCACTTTATCCTCATTCTCAGAGATTGTAAAACGAGCAGTAGAGAGATCCTGCAAGTAGAGATGTCCTGAGCTGATCTTAAAGATAAGGATCAGGGCCAATCTGGTTATGTATTAATGGATCGGTATCGACTAAAATTATGTCATTGCTGTGCTCTGTTGTGTTTCGGTCACCTCGTCCTGCTCGTGTTGCTGCTCCTGTTCTTTAAGACAAAGTGCAACATGCCGCTGTATAATCCAGCGGAAATCAGCATGTGTGAATGTTGAATATTATTTGGGCGCAGCAGTGAGAGACTCTGAGTTCAGACACTGAGGCTGGAAAGAAAATACACAGTTTCACTAATGATCATAAGCAAAGCAATGTGAAAAAACATTCAGCTGCTGCTTCTCATTTTTAGCCGGTGCTGAGCTCAGCGTCGCTGTTGGTGGTTGAAACAACAAACATTGCCAGTGGTAGGTCAGATTATCTGTCACTAATTAATGTTAATTTTGCCATAAATTAAACCTGGTTGTTGTCGGTTCGTGTGCTCTCTGCGCGCTGCTGCAGGACTCATCCACCCTGTAACCTCACTGTACAACCGCCAGTGAACTGAGTATTTCTTTATTCCAACAAATCCAACAGAGTGAGATGTCGTCTTTCTTGTGGATTGCGTCACATCTCTGTCAGGGGAGGCATTCTCCCAAGAATCAATAATTGAAGTTTCTAAACTTTATAGATTTGAACCATGACCTCCTCTTCAGTGTTTGGATCAAGAAGCTCATACAAAATAAAGTGCATAATATGAAGTAGTCAACACAGTGGTCACAATGAAGTGGATGTGGAGGCTGCATTTTATTTATATATTGATTTTTTATGTAGTGAAATAAGTTGTAGAGCTATGAAGAATCACAGTCTGCGCCATGTCAGACTTCAGCATTGCTCCACAACTGTAGATATGTACAGGTCAGTTTGCAGCAGTTGCCTCACTAGTGCACAGATCACAGGTGACCTTTTGAATATGTTTTTATTCAAAATATTCACAATTACGAGACTTCTTGTCTCGTCTTCGGTGGCTACGGGTGTGGTGCACCAAGCAGGTTAAATTTCAAAGTGAAAGCAACCGCATGAAGCTTTTCTGTGTGTTTTTACTCCCAGTTTCAGACGATCAAACCCCCATCTCAGCACCTGTCACTCATCATGATGAGCTGTCTGTAAGCAGACAGCCCACAGCTTGAAACTGAGGCATCAGAGGCACCAAACAAGACGAGGCGAAACAGTCTGAACAGTTTGAAAAATGAATTGATGCTCATCAAAGTGTTTTCAGGCATGTTTTATATCACTGCTCTTCATTTCTTTTCCATCGTGGATTTTGCTGAGCCTTAAATACCAACCCGTCTCACACCTTGTTGCACCCAAAGCAATAAACATATGACTCAAACTATCCTGGACACCAGTGGTTACAGGCAAACATGATTTGACGCATACAGTCCATTGAACAAACTGGGAAGTCATAAATATCTGTACATAATTAAAAGTGTGACTAATAAAAGCCCAGAAACGGCTGGCTAACATCCACGTAGAAGGAAGTTGTTTGTTACTGGTCAGTGTAAAAATAGACTGTAATTCTCTTATTGTACTGTAAGTGACCTTTTTCCGTTTCTAAAAGTATTACATAAACAAGTGATTCAAGTGATGATTTGTAAGAGTTTAATGATGGTTCTTTACTTTCCTAATGACAGCCATTTTTTCTCATTATGGCCTGTCACTTATTTGGCTTTTGTTTCTAAGTTTTTTTTTTTTTTTAACTAAGACAAACAAAACTTCAAATCATTCATTTCTTTTATTGATCCACTATAAATCGATTGAGTTAAACGGTTTAATTCCATCAAAATCTGGTTAATTTGATAAATAAATAATAACATTTCCACGCTTCATTAACTTGTACAAAAGAGTTCAAAGCTTTTATTATCTTAGTCATTGAGATGTGTGACAGCTTAGTACAGACCAGATCTATCGAATTATACAGTCATGTTTTTATATAATGATCATATGAATGGATGTAAAATCCTTATTTGAAAAGAAAACATAACTATAAATTAAATGCAATGGAGTAAAAAGTACAAAATGTAGTGGAGCAGTATAAAGTAGAGTTAAATGGAAGATGGCTTGAATAACATGTTATTTATTATTTGAGTGTATGTATTGATAAAGTAAGGTCATGGTGTATCATCGTAATTCAGGGAGATCAGATTGTGTCATATATTTTTCCTACAGTGAAAAGTTTCCCTCTGAAATGTTCCAGCAGTCATTACTTGTAGTACAGCAGACCTCTGTGGACTGTGCAGAGACTATTCACCATCCTCCTGGCAGTAAACTACACAAACCACGTGAGTTTCCTTTGATGGTGCTGCTGGTCAGTCACTTAGAAAGTTAAAGTGCCGAGTCATCAGCGTCTCTTTGAGTTGATTGTGCAGGATTTCCTTGTTCTCTTTCACTGAAGAAGCACATTTTGTAGGTCTTCCTTAGTTTTCAGTCACAAGGGACGCTTTCACTGCGCTCCGCTTCGATTTCCTGAACGCTGGGCTTCCATGTTTTGTGCGAGCTTCAAAGTAGCAAGATTGAGAGGTGCAAACTTATCTGATTCGGTCTGATCTCGTGGGAGGATGCTTGAAGTCTGAGCGCAGTGTTTGGTGTCAGTCAAAATGTTGAGCCGTCAGGAGAAGAGCTAGCCAGTAAGTAAATGGAGCAGCAGAAGTACACGAGTCTGGTTTGCAGGCTGAATTTCAAATTCTGAGAAAGTTTTTTTTTTTTTTTTTCTCTTCTGCTGTGACTTTGTGTTGAACTTAGCTAAACAAGGAAGTAAAGGGAAATGGTCATGATTAAGTGCCCTATTACTCACTTGGGGAATAATGGTCCCATCTATACAAAGTAAAAAAAACCACACTGTATCTGCTCACTTATTTTTAATTCACAGTGAAGTAAACCAGTCTTTGTTCCTTGTCTCATGCGTTCTTATTGTTGGGATGGTAGAAAGTACGTCAACAGCACTGAAAACGTTGCTGTTAAGAGGTAGGATAGGTTTGCCACAAACACGCTGAGGCAAAACATACAGGAAGTACATGTTCCAGTAAAGAAATAATGTGGAAAAGTCAGGATTTCAGCAATAATTTAGCACACGTTAGTGCTTTTATCACCTCTGCCGAGGTTGCTGTGTTTTCACCAGTGTCTGTTTATTTGTCAGCAGGATTGTGCAAAAAGTACTGAACCGATTTTCACCAAACTAGATAAAGGGGATGGGGCATGAACCGGAGAAGAACCCGTTACATTTTGGGGCAGATCTGGTGTGGTGTATGTTGTTTGACATTGGCATTTTCTAGTTAATCATGATACTAAAACATGCAGGTTATCTGTCAGTGGATGTGTAGAAACATCAGTAACCAATAATAGCCCGACGGGACATTTGAATTCCTCTTTGCATTGTAGTGGTGAAAAGATTGAAACATTGATATATGAATGTTCATAACCAGGAAATGAGGATGCATGTCCACTAAAGATCAACTGATAACAACTTGGTTTCGTGTTGCTGTTTATCAGGCTGGTGTCGGTTCACTGTGAGGTACAGTATGATTTTAGTTTTAATCAGGTTGTGTGGATTAATGCATAAAACTTCACTTCGTGTCCTTCACTAACATCAAACGGTTTTCATGTGACTATTCCTGCTCTGTCGTTAACCGTCACATGACAGAAGTTTACATGTGAAAACCGCAGTGTGTCTGAAAGCACATGCTCTGTTTTCTCATGTGGATTTTTTTTTCCAGTTTTTTTCCTTCCTGCCAAGATTCAACGTTCATGAGAATCACTGAATCCATACTGTGTTTTCTGCCTGAACATAGTCACATTGCAAAGACACTGAAAATAGACTAGTATACAATGCAAGGTGTTTATCAGAACGCTTTTCCAGCTGTTGTCTGTTCGTGTGGCAGATAAACCAGCGTCGAAATGGCCGAGTCTCTAAGAACTACACAACCCACAACCAGTCTTGTAAAGCCCACAGGAATGGCATCAAGAGGCCCAGATCTGAGCACTATGAGTCACTGAAGGAGGGGGTGGACCCTAAGTTCTTGAGGAACATGCGCTTCACCAAGAAGCACAACAAGAAGGGCATGAAGGCAGTTCAGGCGAAATAAGTCACTATCTGATCACCTCCATGTCTGTCAGCGTTTCCACCATCACAGTCATAATAACGTTACTGTGTTTGGCCCGATGTGACTGTGGAAATTTGTGGAAAGTGATCATGTAAAGTTGCTGGTCCTGATGTAGCAAATTATTGTGTTTGATGAAGTTCAGACCAAAAACCCCGTTCAGCATAATACGGACGGTGATAACGAAGCTATGAAGACTCACTGAAGTCATCCTAGTGTTCCCGGTACACCATCAGATTTTCACTTTCCTTTTAAATGACAGTAGATGACAGGTTTTTCCAGCCTTTCTTACCTGTGACCTTCATGTGAATGTGAGTCATTAGTGTGTTAGATGTTTGAAAGGCT